AATTCTTGTTTTAGATAGAAAAAATAAACAATATAAAATAAAATTATCAAAAGTATTAGAATAATTAAAATAAATAAAATAAAATGTAAGTGTTTATTAATAATTTGATATGAAAAAGTCAAGATAAATTAAAGATTTTATGAGTAAATTGGGAGCAGGTGATTCTTTAGCAGATGATATGGATGAAGTACTTGAAAATTACAATAGAAAAATATTAAATAATTAAAAAACAATAGATGATTTTTTATTAATAGCATAATAACGATCATATTATACATTATCATAAATATAAGACTTAGAATATCAAATAAAATTATAAAAGGATATTAAATAATAATTATAATAATAAATTAACGAATTAAAATTACACATATCTAAATTCTCAAAAACATAAAGAACTTCTATAGAAAACAATTACAATAAAGACAATTTATATGATGATGAAAGAGTTTATTGGAATTTGAATAGCAAAGATTTTGATGAATTTCCATTAGTATAATCAAAAAATTTGGATGATTATGAAAGTGATATTTGATAATTAATATGAAATGAAAATTAAATTAAATAATTCTTTGAGATATTATAAAGATTTATTAATTTTAATAATTATGATCTTTTTTTATATATAAATCTTAATCATAAATAAATATATTATAATTCATTCTTCTTTTTTATAAAGAAACCTTTTTAATGTATTAAAATCCATTTTTTATTATTTAACACCTAAGGCTTTAGAAATCATACTAGAATTTATATAAATTAATTAATCTACTTTATTTTATCGTATTAATGCATTAAAAATTCTCTTTTAGCTCTTGCTACTCTTGGTTAAATTACTGTAATAGCTATAGATAAAGGTGCTACTATCTTGATAATTATGTTAGACATACAAAAATAATTCCCAATATAATTTAGATATTATATAATTATGCTTGTCTTTATATTTGCTTCTTTGTTTATTTATCATATGTATCAGGATTGAATAACCAATGTAATCTAGTTTAAATCTTTTTTAATGTAACACTATATATATTATCTCCTGCACTTTAATAATTTCAATTATTCATTACCTCCAATAATGTAATCTTTTTCCAAATTGATCTCTTACATCTATTCCTTTAGTTTCACTTTGACTTTCAAATTATAGAAACTCTGATTGAAATTCATTATTTAATGCTCTTTGATATCTATCATCTTAATCACTCATTTTTATTTTATTATTTTTAATGAATAGTGAGGAAGAAATTCTTAAATAATTTGATACATTACTTAAATAAGTAAATATTTTTGAAGAATAAACTCCTGGTGATGATAAATTGATGGAATTAATTGAGAAATTCTAACAAACTCAATAAGCAATTATTAAATAACACATATTTTCTCCTAATGAGGAATTTAATGAAATCAAAACAGAACATCTAAAATTTTTTTTATTGCCTTATTATGTTGGTTGGGCATTAACTTAATTGTAAAATGAAGATATTAGATAAAAGAACATAGAGACATCTAATTATTATGTAAAGGAATTCTTGAAACTATTAAGACAATATGAAATATTAAAAGGAATACAATTAAAACTATTTAAATCTTTAATGGAAAATGATACTTTACAAATTAATAGAGATGATAAGATAGCAAACTATAAAGAACAATAACTATTGAATAAATAGATATAGGTATTTTTAGATTAAACTACTTTAGAATTTATAAAAATTAGATGATGATAAATTATCAAGAGAAATTATAACCTTACAATTAAATTAAAAAATTATATCTTCATTCGATATACTTAATACTAATTAATAAGAATTAGAAATATTAAAATTTAAATCATAGATGAAAAAAGATAAACAACTTCAATAACAATATTAAGATTAATAAGAAAAACCTATCCCAAAAATGAAAGTTTGGAATATTCCAGTAATTATTTATAATATTTATCTTATAGAAACCTACTATGCAACCTTAATTCTTTGATCCACATTGTTAACATTGTTAAACTGAATCAGAACTTAGGTAAAAACATGTTACTGAAGTTTGGTAGCCTAATGCTGCCAGACTTCCAAATATGACATTAGAAGAATTTGCTGATTCAGAAATGAAAGTATTATTATCTAATAAAGTATAGTTTGCTAAAGATTAAGAAGCAAAAATGAAAAAAGCATAAGAAGAATAATAAAAATTAGAATAAGATAAAGATGATGATAAAGATTATTGGGCAGATTAATAAACATTAAAAGATAGAAATTGGGATGATTGGAAAGATGATAATGAAAAAGGAGCTGGTAATAAAATGGGTAGATGATATCAAATACATCATTATTTTGATTTAATGAAATTGTATGAGTCTTAACACATTTCTGTCAATCCTCTCTTTGCTATCCATCCTAATTTTTCTTTTGTTTTATTTGGATTAGCAACTAATATAGCAACATCTCCAACTCTCTTATTAGTAATCTGATATTTGATAGGTACAAGTTTTGAATATTCATTCACAATATCTAGTACACTAAATCCTTTACCTGTTCCAATATTAAAATAATCATAATAATTTTCATTCTTTTCATCTCTTTTTATTAATTCCTATAATGCTACTACATGAGCCTCTGCTAAATCTAAAACATGAATATAATCTCTAATGCCTGTACCATCATGAGTATTATAATCATTTCCAAAAACATATAATTATTCAAGATTACCTATAGCTACTTATTCTATATAAGGAAATAAATTGTTAGGTTTATTAGGCATTTCTCCAAGCTTACCATCTTTGGTTGCTCCAACAGGATTAAAATATCTTAAACATAGATATCTACCTCCCTTCTTTGATAATGATTTAATCAAATATTCTATTGTTACTTTAGTTTCACCATATGGATTTGAAGGTTTAAATGGAGCTTCTTCATCTACAAATTCACCAGGTGCATAAACTGTTGCTGAAGAACTGAATAAAAAGTTCTAACATTTATACTCTTCAGCACATCTTAATAGATTCAAAGTGCCTACAACATTATTTTAATAATATTTTATAGGGTTTTCAACAGATTCCCCAACAGCCTTTAATGCAGCAAAGTGAATAATATAATTAATTGGATTTGTCTCTTTGTATTTATTAAAGACTTCACTTAATTAATTATAATTCTGAATATCTACAATGTGCAAATCTAATTGTTCACCTATTATACTACTAATACTATCTAAAACTTAGATTTTGCTATTACTCAAATTATCTAAAATAATTATCTAAAGATGAGTATTAAAATTACTTTGTATTATTTTCCAATAGCCTTATATAATTCAGTAATAGTAATTGATCCAATATATCCTAAGCCTCCAGTTATTAAAATTGATTACATATTATATAAAACAAAAATTTATTTATATCATTTTTATTAAGAGTTATTATTATGTTATAATGTTTTGACTTACCAATTAATTAGATTATTGATTCTACATCTCACAGTCAAAGGTTTTGGAGTTAATAATTAAACAGAACTAGTTTAATTTCTGAAAGTTAAGCTAGTTTGAAGATTATTAAATGTATGAATAGTTTGTAAATTTAATTTAGGAATACTTTTTTTAGCTTTTTCTTTATATGAATTCTTTTCAGATTTGTAGATCATCAATTTTTTTAAATCATTTGCCTTTAATTTTGATTACTATTTATCATAACATCTCTTTTGTTCATAAGGATTATTTTAATATTAGATTGGATTTAAAACACTATTAAAATTCTTTGAAATTTTATAGCAATGTATTTGATTATTAATTTTAATAGATTAATTTGATGAAGTTTTTAATTAAGAAGTTCTATTAATTTCTCTAAATGAATCTGGCTTATTTACTTTACATAATATTTAATGTAATCCTTTATTATTTTATGTAGATTTATTCTTTTTAGCTGTTGGAGTGTTTTTTTCAATATCCATAATAGATTTCATAATTTTAAGTTCAAGTTATTTCATTTCAGGTATTGAATTTTTGCTATCTTTCTTTTAATCAATTTTATTATCAATTTTAAGTTTACTTAATTTAGAATATTTATTAAATAATTGAATAAGACTTTCCTTTTGTATATTAATATCTTTAGTTTTTTCTTAAGATGTTTTTAATACCTTACTTATAGAATCAGTGGCAATTCTAGTTGATAAAGGACCTCTTATATAATTACTACATTTACTCTAAGTTCTTGAAGATTGAGATAATACAAATTCTTCTAATTTTAATGATTTTTTAAATGATGGATTTTATTTCTTAAATACTTAATATTTTTAAACAATCTTGTTATTATTAATTTAATCTAAATTAAAGGCTTTCAACATTTGAATAATTTCACTTTTCTGATCTTCTTGTATTTTAGAGATCTTACTAATTTCTTCTTAGCTTATTTAATTTTAATCTCCTTATTATATTATATCTTAAAGAATATTTTCAACATTATTATTGATAGTTGAATTGTTACTACTTTCAGATTCAGGAGTTGTTTAAGTTTCTACTGGTTTATCTCCAACAATACCTTTTGGAGTTTTATTTGGATTGTTTCTATTTTCATATTCTATTTGTCTTTGTATTTTGTAATATTCAAATTTTCGCTTTTTATCATAATACAAATTCAAAATAATAATGATATTCTTATGAACAGTAAAGCGAGGTAAATCATTATGATATTTGTAGAACTCTGTTAGTAATTTAATTTTAGCACATTATTCATTAATATAGTAATATCTCTTCATTCTTTCTCCTAATTCTTAAAATTGAGTATCATCCTTAATTTATCACGAATTGCTTACATAAAATTAAATAGTAGCTGGTGTTCTGTTCTTACCCAAAATATCGTTGATTTCTTTTGTGAAGTAATAATTTTATGAAGCAGAATACTTATGATAAAGGGTATGGTTGATAATGTTTCTAGAAGCAAATTCTGAATGATAATTTCTGACATATCCCAAGGTCTTTAATTAACATTTATGTTATTAATTCATATATAATTAAATAAGTAAATGTCCGAAGAATTAAATTCAAGTCTTGATTCCCTTGAATTAGATTTATACCACAAACCTAATCCTAGAATTAGAACTATACTTAATTACCTTAGATCATAAAATATCAAATTTTGCACAGACCCAAAAAAGAAAGAAGAAGACTTCTATTCTAAACAGTCTTCTACAGAGATTAATTCTGATATGGATTTTGGAATAAGAAGAAATAGATTTATAAATAGAGGTCCTTAAAGATCTGGAATTGTTTTGGTTTCAAATACATCTTGATTTACTATTATATTTGTTATATTTAATTCAGTAAACTTGTATTTTGAATTCATTAGTGACTTTATTTGAATGCTCAACCACATTATCAATTTTGATATTATTGATGTTAATATAATACTATATGAATCTTCTAATTATTAATTTGATTTTAATTTAAAAAGGAATATGGGAGAGCGCTATTTATTTATAAGTATTCTCTAAATATTGACTTATAAATGAATAAATTTTATTAGTAATTAAATATATATCAATCTTTTCACTTAAATATTACAAGACATAATAATTTGAACTCTTGAGATTTATATAATAAGTTGATAATTTTATAATAAGTCTTGACTGTTTATTCTTCAAGATAATTTTTTATTTAAGTTGAGATTACAATATACTCAAATTCTTATTTCTTACATGATTAATATATTGATAAGTAGTTAACTATGATATAATATTAAAATAAAAGTGAACTTAAATAGGCTAAATATAATATGTATTATTAAAGTTAAGATCTTCAATATATATATCTAAATTACGTTAAGATAATTTAAAGTAGAACATATGTGTGTAAAATAATAGTAAATAGGATAAATAAATTATTTTTTTTTAAATAAGAAAGTTGTTATATTTTTTGGTCAATTAATAGTAATTTTATTTATCACTTTTATTTATAAATATTTATCACTCCAATGAATAATTATTAAATAATTTATAAATGCAAGCTTCTTAAGATAAACTACCTAGATTAGATCTTACTAATAGAAGATCATAATCGATGGCTAATTCTAATCCTGCTTTTAAAAAACTTAAAGAAACTTTGCTAATTGAGAATTAAACTAGCACTCGTCACTTGAAAAGAAAGGAAGGTGATATTTTAGACTCAATACTTGAAGATGCAAGTTTAATCTTAGGAAATAAATAATTAGAAAAAAATATTTATTAACTCAAGGAATTAGGATTATTGAAATAATATGATCCAACAATAGCAGTTTAATAAGGATATAAGAAAAGTAATTATGTGATGAATGATTATCATAATAAAAGCACAACAAATGGTTATTCAAGAAATTATGGAGGATTATTTTACAATAGATGATTATCTTAAAAAATTTTTAATAATCAAATAACATACTTCTTCTTAATTATATTTCATAAATAAATATATTATTATTCTTTATCATCTAATTTTGATTAACTATAATTATTAGTGCCAATTAACATCTTTATTCTTCTAATTTAGTATTAAATTTTAATTCTTCTATCTCATTTATAATTTACTTATATAACGCTTTTAAATTGAATATATTTATAGATTAAGATGGATTATAAATTTTATTTATATTTATTTTATTAATATAGATTCCAATTTCTGATAAAATGAATTGAAAATTGATATTTTATCTTAATTATTGTTATATATATACTTAAGTAAATATCTAATAAATGAAAATAGCTATATATTAATATTGAATCTATATATTTATATCTGTCTATTTTTAATATTACATAAATATTGAAGTAATATTGCAAGTTTAATTTAAATATTTTGTTAATTTTCTCTCTAAATGCATAGAGAAAATAATTGCGATGATAAGAGTAGGAGTAGAAGTCGCAGTAAGTCAAGCAAAAGATACATCTAACATAACCAAGTTTAAAATTGTATAGAGGTGAAAAATCAAAAAGAAGAAAATGATTAACAAATTGATAATAAAGAATGTATTTCTCATAATTCTAGTCCAATTAGAAAATAAGAAGAACTTCATAAGAGTGATTAATTTAATAAGTATATATTGTTTTTATGCAGAGAAAATAAAGAAGAATATAAGATCTTTGATTAGATTTAGTGTATCAATCTAGAGTCTAAAAATTAATTTTAAATACAATTTGAAAATCAAGAACAAGGAGAAAGTAAATTTTTATCAATGTCTTTACCTTATTAAGAAATAAAAATAAACTAAAAAATGATTTTAAATAAATAGCCATCTCAATTGATCACTATAAATGATAGCAGTTAAGAAGAAGATTAAAATGTTTAGAGTATTTAATATCAAGGTAGTTCACATCTTCATCATTAACAATTTGATAATAATAGAAAGAGATTATTAAGAAATGGTAAGTTATTGTAAAAATTAAGAATTTAGAGACCATTAATTAAAAGAACATATTAATATGTAAAATAAATAAAATAAAAGAAATAATCTTTTGAATGCATTGATTTAACAAATGATGATTATATATAATCCTTTTTTGGACTTAATCATCCTATGCTATTAAGTTCTATGAATTATCATAAAAAAATATTATTTGAATTAGTTGAGCCATATGAATATTAATGTGGAAACTTTATGATTAGTTTAGGAATCAATAGTCATTATACTGCAATTGTGACACTACCTAATCTATCTTAAACAAAATCTATTTATTATTTATTTATGATGTTCAAATTTGATTCAAAAAACATTTATTGTATGGTTCCTGAAGATGACTAAACAACATTACTGGTTAGTTCGAATATTTAATCACTTTATTATTACTGTAACTCTAATTATCAAAAAAAGAAAAATAATAATACAACCTTTATAGAAAGTACACTAAAATACAAATTTCCCTATATCTATCCACCTCTAATTAGAAAATTTATAGTTTCTTATTTAAAAAATGATTCATAGATTCTATATCATATAAATTATGATTCACATGCTACTCAATTAGCAATTGAAGATTATTATTGGGATAATCCAGGACATTTAATTACTGGTACTAGTCATCCTATTTTAAAAATGTTATTATTAAAATCCCAAAATAATTAGATTCCTTAATATTATGATAAATTTATTAATGCTCCACTCTATGAAGGACAATTTAGTTTAAAGGCTTGTCTTTAATAAAATGGTAATCTTATTGTTGTTGAGAGAAGGTAATAATAATAATAATTGATTTTATATTAGATTCTTAAGTCCCTTTTCTCATGGTTTTCATAATATTAAAATTGAAATTAATCGAACAACAAATCTTATTGTTATGAAACAGAATGGAAAAAATTATGAGATCTAATCAAAATCCATTCAATTATTTTGGAATGAAGTTCTATCAAAATACTTATAATTATATCATTCGTATTATCTTATTTTAAGTTTAGAAAATAGTTGTATAATTACTTTGTTGATATCATTAACTAAGATAAAAAGATCTTAGAAAAGTACTAGAAATGGAATTAACTATATTAATACATGAGCAAATCTAATTAATTAAAATCTAATAAGTCAAATGATAACATTATCATCCTGAATGATAAGAAATTCTTTTGTTATTCAATAGAAAAAATAAAAAATGGAAACAACATTAAATATTAATGATAAATATGAATAAATTATATTTTGTCTTTAAATTTTGTACAGACACTTAAAAGTCAATATATAAACTTGAAAATGCTCAAAAATATATATCTGAATTAGTCTAAAAGACTGATTGGATCAGCTTTGCAATATCCAAGCATATCCCTAAATAAGTGAGGTATTCATTAATAATTGAATAAAGATAAGATTATTTGAACATTTGTCAATTTCATAATGAATTAGCGAGAATTGAAGAAACTTCTAAAGAAAGATCACTTGGAGTAGGCAAACTATAATATTGGTCAGATTAAATTGATTAAGTAACATTGCTAAAGATATTGAGATTTTTTTAGATAATCCTTAAAGAGAACCTTTATCAATTTGTCTTCATAACAGTTGTAAAAACAACCCATTACCAAAATATCTTTTTCAAAAAATGATAAATTATCGCAAATAATAAGTAGAGAAGGGAGAATTTTCAAATCTTGNTACAACCTTTATAGAAAGTACACTAAAATACAAATTTCCCTATATCTATCCACCTCTAATTAGAAAATTTATAGTTTCTTATTTAAAAAATGATTCATAGATTCTATATCATATAAATTATGATTCACATGCTACTCAATTAGCAATTGAAGATTATTATTGGGATAATCCAGGACATTTAATTACTGGTACTAGTCATCCTATTTTAAAAATGTTATTATTAAAATCCCAAAATAATTAGATTCCTTAATATTATGATAAATTTATTAATGCTCCACTCTATGAAGGACAATTTAGTTTAAAGGCTTGTCTTTAATAAAATGGTAATCTTATTGTTGTTGAGAGAAGGTAATAATAATAATAATTGATTTTATATTAGATTCTTAAGTCCCTTTTCTCATGGTTTTCATAATATTAAAATTGAAATTAATCGAACAACAAATCTTATTGTTATGAAACAGAATGGAAAAAATTATGAGATCTAATCAAAATCCATTCAATTATTTTGGAATGAAGTTCTATCAAAATACTTATAATTATATCATTCGTATTATCTTATTTTAAGTTTAGAAAATAGTTGTATAATTACTTTGTTGATATCATTAACTAAGATAAAAAGATCTTAGAAAAGTACTAGAAATGGAATTAACTATATTAATACATGAGCAAATCTAATTAATTAAAATCTAATAAGTCAAATGATAACATTATCATCCTGAATGATAAGAAATTCTTTTGTTATTCAATAGAAAAAATAAAAAATGGAAACAACATTAAATATTAATGATAAATATGAATAAATTATATTTTGTCTTTAAATTTTGTACAGACACTTAAAAGTCAATATATAAACTTGAAAATGCTCAAAAATATATATCTGAATTAGTCTAAAAGACTGATTGGATCAGCTTTGCAATATCCAAGCATATCCCTAAATAAGTGAGGTATTCATTAATAATTGAATAAAGATAAGATTATTTGAACATTTGTCAATTTCATAATGAATTAGCGAGAATTGAAGAAACTTCTAAAGAAAGATCACTTGGAGTAGGCAAACTATAATATTGGTCAGATTAAATTGATTAAGTAACATTGCTAAAGATATTGAGATTTTTTTAGATAATCCTTAAAGAGAACCTTTATCAATTTGTCTTCATAACAGTTGTAAAAACAACCCATTACCAAAATATCTTTTTCAAAAAATGATAAATTATCGCAAATAATAAGTAGAGAAGGGAGAATTTTCAAATCTTGTAGATATGGCTACTGCTGCAGAAGCAAACAGAGGATCACAATTTTTATTGTTTTTGCGATTAATGAGGATGGATATAGAAAATTAAGATCTAAAATAATTAACAGAGTTATCAGCATAGGCAGTTGGAATGACAGATTATCTTAGAAGAGTACCATTCACACTTTAAAATTATAAACTTAATTTACCAGAGGATATTAAATATAAACATAGTATAAATGTTAGATCACTTTGGGATAGAATTAGGGGTATTATTTGATTTAGAATTCAAGGTGAACCAAAGGAAGAATTATATGATGCAGTTTTAGAAGTGGCTGCTTTTGCTAGAACATAAATGATCAGAACTTCATAATTTTAGAATAAGATTCCACCTTAATCATTTAGGGCATTTTTACATCTAACACCAACTGAGTAATATTTAGATGAATTGGAATATTATAATTTTAAGATATTTGAAAAGTATCAATTATATATTTATATAAGAGCGATCAATTAAAATTCATATGTGTAATTACCTATAACTCTATTTAAAACTTGCAGAAAGATGAAGTATCTAAGTAAAGATTACGAATTGAAATGAGTATTAATTTATAGATATTAATTAAATTTGATGAAAAAGTCATAATCATAAAATAATTCAGGAGCTTTTGATTTCCCAGATGTTAATAAACCAAGATTTGAACCTTAACTTCATAAAATCTCAGCAAGCACATAATAAAAAGTTGTAATATAAAAACTTACTAATTCACTTAATAATCATAAAATTATTACATAGACAACGGAATAACCATAGACTATTAGAAGTTAAGTTTCTAAGCCTTTAATTAGTTCAGAACGTTTTATGTTTGATTTAGATGCTTCAATGGTTTATATTCATAGAGAAAAGATAATGTAATTTGAAGAACTTGAATAATAGAGAATTCAGTAATTATTAAGAGACATATAAATAAAAGTTCCTTAAATAAATGATAAAGTAAATCATTTCATAGCATTAGCAGGATAGTTTGAAAATGAAAAAGTTAATTCTTTAGTGAATTAATTCATAAAAGTGGTTGAATAATTATTGTAAATATTTGATGAGAAAACTAAAGAAATAAAAGAATATTAATTTGCATTAAAATAAAGCAGAGAGTAAGGATAAAATAATAGCAGATTAATAGAAGATTAATCATAAATGATAAAATATATGGAAAGTTAAAATTAAAATGCTAAAAATGTTACAAGAACCTTTTAGAGATCTAATGAATTAGCTGTTATTAATGTATAACTTGAAAAGAAAGTTGAACTATTAAATTAAAATTTATAATTTTTAATGAATCAAAATAAAGATAGTTTAGCTACTTAATTATAATAAAAAATTGATTAATTAAATAAAACAATTGAAGAACAATAAAATAAATTATATGATGATAATAATAAATAAATTTAATTGTAATAATAAATATAAACTTTAAAATCAACTGAATTTAAACATTAAATTTAACTTAGAAAATTAGAAGATAAAATATAAGAATATGAATCAAAATTAAAAGAATTAACTTTTCAAGTTTCATATTCTAAAGAATAAAAAGATTAATATAGAGAACTATATTATATGACATATGAAGATTTATAAATGAATAAATTAAATACTTAAACAGAAAGAAAATAAATGCAAAAAAGTTTTGAAAAAATTAGAATGTTATAAGATAGGATAGATGAAATGACAGTAAAAAGAAGTAAGGAAGTAGATGCACCATTTTCAAGTAGAGTTGAAGGTGATATGATACAATTATAAGCTATTACCAAAATTTTAGATGAAGATCATGTATTTTAAAGGTATATGATGAGTAGTTTCCTAAAGAATGTCCAAGAGTATGATTCAAAATTAGTTGATGCATATGTTGATGTTAAAAGGTTAGTCGTAGGTAGAGATGAAGAAGCAGAATTATAAACATTAAGATATAATTATCCACCATTTACTTTGTTTCTAGAAAAAAGAATTGTTGATTAGGAAACCTAATATCTATAAATAAGACCTATATCTAATAATTTTATGGGTTTACTTAGAGCTATTTTAGATGGAATGTATATTGAATTTCAAAAGAATACTTATATATCTTTTTAAAGTTATATAATCTCTTGGTTAAGTACATTCACAATTGAGAATCATTAAGTTATAATATTTCCAGAAGATACAAAAAGAGTAAATTTATATACTATAAATTAAGGTCAAAATAGAAGAGTAATTGCACACTTTTTATCTAGATTTAATGGTACCCAGATTAGATAAAGTATGGGAAGTAGTATAATTTAGACATTTTTTAAATGATATTTATTCATTAGAAGAATTATATTTCTATCTTCATGTTCGCTATTTATTGAGAAGAGGACCTTGGATTGAAACATTTGATGCAATATATGGTGTTGTCCATTATATGAAAGTATAATAAGCAGAATCCATAATATTGAGATGTTTAGAATAATTTGATAAGATCAATTAGACTTTAGTTATAAGAGCAGTTAACGAACGAATTGTTGAAGGAAAAAGTAATATTATTATTTAATTAGATTAGATGACAGAAAATTAATTTAAACAGGATTTGTTTTATAATTATTATTGGAAATATTTAGAATAGACAGAATTAATAGATACAAAATTCTTTCTTTTGCATTTCCAGCATAACCAATCAATTTTAAATAGTTCCATAAATTTGTTAAAGGAAATTTTTCAAAATGTACTGAAGGTGAGGTTGCAGAATTATGGAGGGAAGTTTACATGATTTCAAATGGTATCCCCAATTTAAATTCATTCTTTACTGCTGCTCAATCCCTTTTTATTAAATCACTTATACTTCCTGCAATATATACTGTTCCTCTTCTAGATACTAATAAAAAATTAGCTTTTGATGAATTAAATTTCACAACAATGAAAATTTAAGAATAATTAAAGGAAATTACTGATTCTGATTTAGATGTCCTTAAAACATTAATTCCTTAAATGTTTTAAGAGGAAATGATAAAAATAACAAAATAGTTAATGCCAAAAAATTAAATTCAATTTGTTAATCCTATTGAATATATATTTAAATTTATGAAGCTTATTCTTACATTGAAATATAATACAATTTTAGCAGATGGTTTAGAAGAAGATGGTGTAAATAGAAAAGGCTTTATTACTGAAACATTTACTTAGTTTATTACTGCAGAAATTAATGAATTGAATAAAGTTATATATAAAAAGCAATCCTATATGTCAGATTAAGAAATTAGAATATCTAGATTATAAAAATACGCAAAGAAAAAAGTAAAAAAAATCTATGTTATCATGTCATCTGTGTTACAATCAAGAATTAAATAATGATATTTATTTCATATATTATCAAAATCATTGAAACTCTGAATTATAGTTCCTTAATTTATATACTATTCAACATCATCAACAACTAATTATATTAATTATTCTTATTATGTTTAAATTTGGGCTTAAAAAATTTAAGTTTCTTATTATTGTTATTGTTATTATTGTTATTATTGTTATTATTATTATTATTATTATTATTATTATTATTATTATTATTATTATTATTATTATTATTATTATTATTATTATTATTAATCCTTTGGTTTAGCAGGCTTTCTCTTTGTGGCCCTATAATCTTCTATAAGTTTCTTCCCTTTTTCTAATCTAATTTCTTAAGTTTCATTGAGGAAATTCTCTTCATTTTATTCCTGCTGATCCTTCTCATAAAATCTTATATACATATTATTTAGCAATGGTACTATAGCATCCTATTTAAATAATTCAGTAGTCCTTCTGTATGATTCTGATTTCAATATTATATCTCTAATTAAAATTTTATCTTCTATCTTTGTATATTCTTCTAGCAGTCCTATACAAGCTTAGTATAATCTAATATCATAAGTTTTATATAGCTTTTCAAAAAGTTAGTAGATTTCTTTGTATTTTTGCATTTTTAGCAATATTTTAATAATTAATTTTATTATTTTAGACTTCTAATAATTAAAAATTAAGTCTGAGGAATGGTAATGACTTAATACTTCATCTTTTTCACACTTATATTTATCAATTTATAAGTAATAATACACAAGATCTCTACTATTTGGTTGATAGATAGGGGATATTTATGCAAAAACTTAATCTATAGAAGCTTAACTATTAAATTTTAAATGAGTTGCATAATAGAATGCTTCTATTATATACCTTTAAGCTTTTTTTCTAACTAATTTTTATGTGTTCTCTATAAATATAGATAAAAGGTTATTTAAAATTATGTTTACTTCTTCTTTATTGTAATAAGTATTTTCCTCTTTTTCAAGTTGTTCTTAAGTTAAATTTGATATTTTGAATTTTCTATTATCATATTAAAATTCAAATTGAAGATCACTTTGATTTTGATTTAATAAATAAGAGTATTTATCTTTGATTATTGAAATTAATTGTTATAACTAATGATAAAGTCTATGTCTCAAGAATCTTCTAATAAATTTGTAAATATTTATATATAGATCTTATTTCATTTCTTATTCTCCAT